CGTCGGCGGCGAGAAGTGCGACCGCTGCGGCCGCGGTCACTTTGGTTTCGGGGCCGACGGCTGCGCGGGTAAGCGCCGACCGTCGCGCCGCCGCCGCGTCGTCTTCTCCCCGGGGAGCGCCTGACGCCCGCGCTTTCTCCTTCCCCAGCGTGCGCCTGCAATCACACAAGCGGAAACTGCGACAGCCACAGCGGAGAGTGCGTCTGCCCCGCCCACACGGAGGGTGACGGCTGCGACGCCTGCGAGGCGGGATACTGGGGTCGCCACCCCGTTTCGGGCTGCCAGGTGCGCACGCGGGCAGACTCGACGCAATTCGACGGCCACGCGTCCCGAACCTCTCCGTCCTTGCAGCCTTGCAACTGCAGCGTGGAAGGAAGCGCCGCCTCTCAGTGCGAGCGCGCCGACGGCCGGTGCGCGTGCAGAGAGGGCTTCTCCGGCAGGTCGTGCGACCGCTGCGCTCCCGGTCACTACGGCTACCCGGCGTGCTCGCCGTGCGCCTGCCCTCTCCGGAACAACAGGTGACGCTTCCGAATTTGCCTTCGACCGAGTCGCTCCTTCCCGGACGGAAATATGCAATACGGCGCGCGTGCAGTTACAGTCCCACGTGCGTGTCCGAGGGAACGCTCGGAGGCTTTCGCTGCACTTCCTGTCTGACGGGGTACGAAGGCCGCTACTGCGAGCGGTAAGTCCCGGCACTCGAAAGGCGGAAGCTTACGTGCGGGCGGCTGGTCCGGCGCGGTCCGGTCCGGCGTTCCCTTTGACGTCGCGGACGCGCGGGAGTCACTTCCCCCCGCTGAGAGAGCTCCTCGGCTCCGCCGTCATCCCGCAGGTGCTCTCCGGGCTACTACGGCACCCCGTCGCTGCCCGGGGGGACGTGCGCCCCGTGCGGCTGCAGCGCTTGGGGCTCCCTGCATCCGCTGTGTGACCCGGTGAGCGGCCGGTGCCCGTGCAAAGCCGGGGTCGCGGGGCCCGCGTGCGAGCGGTGCGACGACCGTCACGTCCTGGAGGGAAGCGAATGCTCGCGTGAGTGCCCGCGACGAGCGAAAACGCACCACTTGCGTCGGGAGATGCCGCCGTCACCTGCCGGTGTCGTTTGCGTCTAGTGTGCGACGACCGTTGCGCCGGCGCTCTTCTGGACGACTTGGACCGGACGCACCAAGAGTGGCGAGGCGTCAACATCGGCGGCGTTGCCGTGGCACCCCATCGCCGGCTGGTGGCGCTGAAAAGGCAGACCGCAGACGTGCAGGTAGTTCAAGACAAAAGCGTTGGACGCGCTTGCTAAACTGTCCGGCGATGGCGAACGTTCCCTATTGTCCGGATTTGCAATTTGCGAGCAGCCCGTCGAGCGGCCGGCCCCGCTGGGAATTCTGCCGGTGCCGCACGTTCGTCCCTCCGCATGTCAAAAGTCATCTCGGTATGAACTCTCGTCGAAAATAAAACAGAGCCTGCTTAGCCTCGCGTGGTCGAGCAACGACCAAATCGGCTTGCGTATTTGACTCTCCGCCCCGCCGCCGAAACGGAACGTCTCCGTCGAGCGCTAAAAGCGCGCTTCCTCGCTTTGGAGCTCCTCCGGGTAACCTCGCCCACGCTCACTGAGGACACTTTGTTACGGCGCGGCAGAGGTAGAGGCGGCGGCGGGTCCGAGAGCGAGCGGGAAGCAGGATCATCGTAGGGTCAAGCGGTCCGCGGGAGGAAAAGGCCGAGGCGGGCGGAGCAGGGAGCCGCTGGAAAACGACAAGCGAGATCCCAAAATAGCAAGCGCGTGCGCTCGCGGAGGCCTCCGCACCTCTCGCGATCCACGACGCGTCTGGCGCGGGAGAAGCAGAGGAAGCGGACGCATGCGACGTGGAGCGCCAAAACAAATGAGCGAGTCAGAATGCGAGCGCAGGAGGAGGAGGAGGAGGGGGATCTGCGCAGGGACGGATGAGCCGAGATCGAGTGGTCGCTCGGTGTTTGTTGAACCGCCGCGCCTGTCAGCTGATGTTTTCAGAACGCGCGTCTTTGGAGATGCCGTCGTACGCAGCGGAAGAAGACTCTGCGCGACTGACCTCTGACCTCAGCCTTCTGGGAAAGCGGGTATGCTTTGGTCACGTGACCGTATGCCAATGAAGCCTGAGACAGAGAGAGTGTGAACTTTTGAGCTCCCCTCTCCCGATTGGCCAGGCTGCAAACGCGTCCCGCGACTGGGAGCGAGCGGCCGCGTCCGCCGATGACGGCGTGTCACTCGCGCGTCGGCTGATGGACAAGGTCCGGCGGGTTCAAGACCACATCGAAGGTCGGAGATGTCCGTCTCGTCGCGGCATCGGAAGTGGGACTCGCTCGCTCGCTCACTCGCTTCTGATGGCCGCAGCTCTGGGGAGGGAGGCGGATCACCTGAATCGGGCCGCCGAGGCGGCACCCGAAACGGCCCGTCGCACGCAACTGCTGGACCGGGCGGCCTCCGCGCTGGAAAGCATGCGAGCCTTCGATCTGAGCGGAGCCGCGAGCGCGGCGCGTCTTGAGCTCAGGTCTGTCTTTCCGGCCCGGCGGCGATGGCATTCGCCGACCGGTCCGTCGTTTGTCGGCATCCCGAGTGTCGGCTGGGATGGACCCGGAGGAGCGCGAGCGCCGTTTCACCCTCCGCTCTCGCTTTCAGTTGGTCAGAGTCTCTCGTCGAGTCGCTCCAACGCCATTTCCTTCCGGGCGCAGGCGAGAGTCTCCGCCCCCTCGCCGTCGGCCTGGCGGCTCAGGCGCAAAGGCTGCAAGAAGCACAAACGCGCCTGGAAGACGCCGCAAAAGAAAACGCACGAACGCGCTTTGTGATGAAGGCCACAAACGCTTTGCTTGGCCGCTACCAGGTATCCACACTGTGCGCGCACACACGGGGCGGCGTTCCAAGGTCCTAGGCAGACACTAACTAGCTTTGTTGCTGTCGTGATCATTTTGTGATGCACGGAGGGGGGGAAAAAAAGCTCCACCAAGTTGATCGGTGGGCAAAACTGCCCCGCAGAGCCAAATAATGTTCTGAGCCTGGCGGCCATTTCCACTCGTTCGAGCCCACGTCAGCAATCGCGCCGATGGCGCCTTTTGACTCGAGACTTGAAAGCGGCTTTGCATGCATGTGCGCGCGCGTGTCAGGCAGCCCACCAGAACGTCAGCGTCGCGTGCGCGTGCGCGGAGGAGGCGGTGGAGGCCGGCCGGCCGCTGCTGAGCGACGCGCTCCACCTGACGGGAGAGTTCGGCAACATCACCGCCGTAAGACTTCCCCCTCTTTGCGAGTGAGAGCGATCTCCCGGAGATGCTCATGCCGACCGGGCGGTTTTGGTGCGCGTGCGAGAAGCAGGCGGACGCGCTGGGAGGCCAGCTGGATCAATGGCGCCCGCCGCTCAGGAGGAAGGTGGAGGCTCTCGTCGCGGGATTGAAGAGCACCGATTCGCTGGAAAGGGTTTACCGAGCGGAGAGCCGCGCCCACCTGCTTCTCAGACACGCCCTGTCTCTGCGCCGGTAACTGACGCTCACCCGTCCCTCCTTCAGCAAGCTTTTTTGTACACTGTCTTTTTTGTTTGGTCCTTTTCCGCAGCGCTCTCGCGGTGGGATGGAACGCTTCTCAGAACAGCAGCCGACTGGTGGCGCCGGATGCCAACGTCGCAAACGCCATCAACGAGGCCCGGCGAGTCGCCTCGGACGCCGCCAACTCTGCCGGCCTCGCTGTCGACATGGTGACAAATGACACCCGGTCCTGCTCGGTCGAGACCGCCGCCCGCAAAGAAGTCAAAACATCTCACTCAATGTGCGTTCTAGACCAACCGATCGGATCGGACCCTGTCAGTCGGGGGCGGGGCCGGGCTGAGCGCCATCTCTGCCGCGCTGACGGAGAGTCACGCGATCAACAAGACAGCCGAAGGTCGGTCGCAACGTCTTTCCGTGGAAAGAAGTGGCCGTCTTTGAAAACGACCGACGTGCGTTTCTAGACGTGCGGCTGAAGTTGTCCGCGCTAACCGCGAGACGGGGGATGCTGAGCGACCGTTTGCGCGACGCGGGCGTCGGCCTCCGTCATCCAATCAGAGAGCTGCGCAGCCTCTCCGAGGGTGAGACGGCCGACTCGCCGCGACTTGCGGCGCGCCGTCGCGTTGACATTTGGAGTGGATTTCTCAGGGTCGTCGCGGGCGCGCGAGGCTCAGTCGCAGGCCGCGCTCGCTCACTCCGGCCTGCAGGAGGCGCTGCGGCACTTGTACGCCCTGAGACGGCAGCTGCGGGATTCTTCTTCTGCGGTGGAAAAAAGCAACCTGAGCGCAACGGAGACCGATCGGCTGATGACGCGGACGCGTTCCACAGGTTTGTTGGGGCTCTGGGAGGAGGTTGCGACTTTTCGACAGAGATGTTCCGTCACGGTTTAGCCGATGAGGCGCGGGGGAAACTGGAGGAGGCGGAGCGGCGCGCGCGGCGCTTGAGTGACAAAATAAAGCCCCTGAGCGCGCTGGGAGAAAGTCTGAGCGGGAACCTGTCCGACATCCGAGAGCTCATCGAGCAGGCCAGAAGACAAGCGGCGTCCGTACGTCCTTTTGCTTCCGACGCCGTCGAGTGATGCGGACGCGATATGGCGTGACGGCGCTGCCGCCGTGTCATTCAGATTAAGGTGGCGGTGCAGGCGGATGGAGACTGCGTCCGTTCGTACCGGCCCCAAATTCAGTCCAGCAACTTTAACACCTTGACCTTGACGGTGAAGACCAAGAGTCCAAACAACCTGCTTTTCTACATGGGCGGCGAGACAACGGTACACGCACGCACGCACACACATATACTTGCATTTGCGCTTGTTGATGTTGGTCGGGCGCCCAGATGGAGTTCCTCGCCGTGGAGACGCACGATGGGAAAGTTTCTCTGCTCTGGGACGTCGGATCCGGCGGCACCAGGCTGGAATATCCGGGACTGGACATCGCCAACAACAGATGGACCAGCGTCAACGCCACACGGTACCAAGACGCGCCGTCGGAGATCGCAGCGGCGCCGGCTCGCGGCGTCACCGATCACGGCCGCCGTGTCCGCAGGCTGGGCTCTCGCGGGTTCCTGTCCGTCCATCAGCCGGAGGCGCCGCCGGCGCAAACGGTGACGGCGGCGTCACCCGGACCGGCCCGGGTTCTACACGTCGACAACGGCACCGCGGTCCATCTCGGAGGGGTGGCGGACGGCGCCCGGGTAAGGCGCGCCGAGCGTGAGCGAGCGCCTTACCCGTTGCGCTCCGACATTTAACGACAGCTCGCGCGTGATGTCAGAGGCCGGCGGCGTTGCGGTGGTCGACGTTCCGGGGCTGCCTGGGCGAAGCGTCGCTCAATGAGAAAAACATCGGCCTGTGGAACTACATCAGCAGACAAGGACAGTGTGGAGGCTGCTTCAGCAGGTGAAGCCCCACCCGGACGCACGTGTGCGCATGCGAGCGCGCACACGCACACGCACGTTGAAGCTGACCTGAAGCGGGGTTTCAGTCCACAGGTGGAAGAGACATCTTTCCACTTTGACGGTTCTGGATTCTCACTCGTCCAAAAGTCTCTGCGAGCCACATCCACATCTGTCGTCTTATGGTTTAAAACGCTGTCGCCAGGCGGATTGCTGATGTACGTGGCCTCCAACAACACGGTATGGCCGGCGCACGCGCACGCGCGCACATGCAGTCCTTCATTGTGAATTGAGCTCTTGATGGGTTCCCGTGCCCCGCAGCGGGACTTTTTGTCCGTTGAGCTGATCGAGGGCTGCCTGCGTCTGACCTTTGACCTCGGCTCGGGTCCTCTGGTCCTCACTTCTAGCAGGAAGTATAATATCGGCGTGTGGTACAAGGTCACGCTGCAAAGGAACCGACGCAAAGGCAAGTCTTGCCCACAAGTGCAACTCGCTGCTTTATGTACTTCGGACGATAATCGTGTGTGTGTGTGTGTTTTAAGGTTACATGTCGATCATGGCGGCTGACCAATCATCTGAGAAAGAAGTGTTGGAAGCAGAGTCACCTGGCACTGCCTCTGATCTCAACCGTTCTGACCTGGATCCCATCTACATCGGAGGGCTTCCCGCTTCCCGGCCAATCAGGTTTGGATCCCGTGTGGGTGGCTCACCTGAACTCGCAGGCTCACGATTATTCACGCGCTCGCTAGGCAACAAGTGGCCTCGAGATCCTACGTCGGCTGCATCAAGAACGTCGAGATCGCAAGGTTGAACTTTGACCTGCTGAGAGATGCATACGGAGTCAGGAAAGGCTGCGTTCTCGAGGTATATATACACACACACACACAGAAACTGCTGAACTCTGACCTGAGCTCATTTGTTCACGTGTGCTGACTCGATGACATCATTTGTGCTTTAGGCAGTGCGGAGCGTGTCCGTGTTAAGCGGCGGCTTCGTTCAGATCGCTCCTCGTTCACTTGGTCAGGAGGCGGAGTTTCTTTTCTCCTTCAAATCAATCAACCAATCAGGAGTCCTGTTGGCCGCCTTCACCGATAACCCTGCCCAGCCACGGGTACGATTCCGCCAAAGATGCGAGCGGTCCGACGTCCGACCTCTTTTTCCATGCGCAGCGCTTCCTGTCCGTCCACCTGCTCCGCGGCACGCTGGAGGCGGAGCTCGGGTACATCGGCGCGGACGGTCGGCGGGTGGCGGCCGAAGGCGGATCCTTCGTCGACGGATCGAAACACTCGGTCATCGTTAACGTCGGTCGCAAGTAAGTGCGACGGCGGTCACGGAGAAGCTCGTCCGTCCGAGGGCACGCGCGCCGCTTCATGCTTCCGTCTCTCAGGTCTCTCTCCATCCAAGCGGATGACGGAAAGCTCAAATCGGCACCGTTAGCCGGCGGGCTTCCCCTTCTCTCCTCTGCCTCTTTTTTCATCGGAGGACTGCCTTCCGGCGCCGAGTCGCACTTGCCGAGCAGGTTGCAGAAGATCTCCAAGTTGTTCAGAGGCTGCGTACAGTACCTGGCGCTCGGCGACCGGTCAGTGTTTTACGCGCACGCACAGACACCGTCAATCGCCCCGCAACCTTGGACGGAACGGATGGATGATCGGCGTTGTCTCGATTGACGGGCGGGCGCTCCCCGGATAGGCTCGTCGACCTGTCGGCGGCCGTCAGGTACGAGGGCGCGGCGCTCGACAGCTGCCTGTTGGAGGAGAAAAGCAGAGGGGCCGTTCTGCCGGAAGACCAGGACGTAGAGGAGGCCACTCCGGAGCCTTCCCGAGCGTCGCTCGCCCCGCCCGCCCCTCCGACGCCCACCGAATTAACGGTAATTGGCGCGGAAATATCGAGCGGGATAACGGGACGTTTTTGGACGGCGGGTGACGTGCGACGGGCGTTGCAGTGTGCGCCGGAAAGCGAGATGAGCTTCCTGCCCGCGGCGGCTCACTTTGGCTCCTCCCGGCACAGTCACATGACCTTTACCGTCGACCCGGTCACGGTCCGCAAGCGGTGAGTCGTCGTCACTTTGGTCGTCGCCGGGCCTCCGCTTAACGTCGCGTTCTCCACAGCTTGTCCGTGCGCCTGTCGCTCCGAACCCGAGCTCGGGACGGCTTGTTGCTCCTTCTGGCCGACGCCGACCGGACGGACTTTGCCATCCTGCGGCTGGCGGCCGGGCGAGCGCTGATGTCGGCGGACCTCGGGAAGGGCGTCGCCACCGCCGCCTCCGCGGTGAGCGTGAACGACGGGAAATGGCACACGGTGAGCCAAAGCGAGTTCGCGTCCGTCCCAAAGGTCGACGCGTGCGTAACCGGGCCGCCCGCGTCCCAGGTCACGGCGGACGTCGGTCGACGCTCTGTTTCGGTCTCTGTGGACGCCTCCGCTGCGGTCTTGGCGGCAGTCAAAGGGAACCAGCTGGACGTCGACGGCAGATTGTACCTTGGCGGATTGCCGCCCGCGCACGACACCCGAAGAATAAACGTAAGATGCGCGCGACGCCCGAGGAATACGCGTCACGGTGACGGCACGTGCGTGCGCCCGTCTCAGGTGACAACGAGTCTCGGGGGTTGCGTTCGCTCCGTGAGCGTGAACGGCTTGGCGCTGGATCTCTCGCGGCCGGCCTCGCGACGCGACATCGCTTCCTGTTTCACAAAGGAGGAGACGGGAAGTTACTTCAACGGCAGCGGATACGCCGCGCTGAGTGAGTCGCCCCGACAAAGTGTGAGCGCGCAGGCGCCCGTGTGAAAGGATTCTCACGTCGGGGCTGCGCGCGTTTGTTTTGTGCTCAGTGCGGGACGGATACAAGGTGGGTTCTGACGTGACCGTGTCTCTGGACTTTCGGACCAGCCAATCGGAAGGCGTCCTCCTGGGTATCAGCAGCGCCAAGGTGGATGCCGTTGGCCTGGAGATGATCAAAGGACAGGTGAGGGGGCGGGGCAAGCCGGGCCCCATTTGAAAAACTCGGGACGGCACATCTACTTCCACTATTTGGACCTCGCGTCACGCGCAGGTGGTGTTCAACGTCAATAACGGGGCGGGCAGAGTGCGGGTCGCTTCTGGCGGTCCCGCGCTGTGCGACGGCCGCTGGCACCGCCTGCTGGCCAGGAAGACCAAACACGCCCTGAGCCTGAACGTGGACGGGCGGAGCGACTCCATCGCCAACCCCTACCCGCAATCCACCTCCGCCGAGACCAATAACCCCGTCTTCGTGGGCGGCTACCCGGGTGAGCTTTCCGCACGGACGCGTCGCGGCCCAAGGTTTGGGGAAAGCCTCCGTGACGCTTCTCTCGTTTCGTCCGCCGCAGACGGAGTCAAGCAGAATTGCCTGTCCACCAAGCGGGCCTTCCGAGGTTGCCTGAAGAACGTTCGTCTCATCAAGTCGCACGTCGCCAGCCCTCTGGACATGAGCCGGGCCCACTTCTCGCTGGGCGTCGCCCCTCGCTCGTGTCCGGCCGCCTAGCGAGGCTTCAAATGTTGGCGCCTAACCTTCCGACAGAATAAAGAGCCCAAAGCGTTTGCTTCAGCCGTACCGCTCCAAAGATTCGATGGCACTTTTAGACGCCCGAGAAGCAGAATCGATGACCTCGCGCGGAGGCGGGCGACTCGGGTGTCCCGGACCGTTGATCTGTCCTCCCTGTTCCGACGCGCCCGCTTCAAATGACCGGGATGGTTACCTGGCTTCTGCGGAGCTCGCCGACGAGCTCGGGGGGGACAGATCAAGCATCCGGGATAGCGGCCCTGGAGGATCGGCGTTCCCCGGCCTGGATCGAGCGCTTCGCTCCGCCGACTTTCATGCCTCCGGAGTGGCGCTCGTTGTCCGAAGGCGGGAGCGTGAGGGCGAGTGGCCGGATGGGCCCCCATTCTGCTTTTTGCTGAGGAACTTTCACCCGCGAGCGCTCGGAAAGGAGAGGTCGCGGCGGCCCTCAGAACGCTTACAAGAGCGGCGGTCGGGCCCAATTTGGCGTCCGGGTGACTCGCGGCAATATTTGTTGTTGTCTGAAGAAAAAAAAACCAAAACGACATCATTGTTTTAGCAAGCCGGTCAAGTCTTGGTCGTGACGTCGTTTTACACAGCAGGTGGTTTGAGGAACAATCGGTGACGGATTCCCGTACAAGAACAACAAAGCCTACATAGGTGAGCGGCACACGAAGGAGTACAGCAACGTGATTTCTTCTCGTCTCATGAGAGTGCTGACAAGCCACACGAGCAAAGCAAGGTGACAAACAATGGGACCGGAAGCGGATCCATCGCCTTTTTTAGCTTTGTTTTGCAACTACGGAGCAAGATGAGCACGCTAACATCGCTAAGGTAGACCGAAGCGCTTGTTCGCAGTGAACGCGCTGGTATGGGAGCTTTTGTCGCGTAGGCAACCGGCGCGTTCACCTTCCGGCCCTTGGCTACGGATTCGTGCGGCATCCATCCGTTTAACGTCAAACAAATAAAGAACAGAAGAAATGAAGTATGAGCTGCTCCGCCGGCAGCCGCGCTCTTGAAAGGTGACGCCCCGTCGGCGCGTCAAACCAAACGCGGCGGAAACATGGCGGTCGTGAGGTCCGACGGCAGAGCGAGACGCGGCAAGGGTCGGTCAAATGGTCCGGCTGGAGTCTTTAAGCTTCCTGAAAGACACAAAGAGCCGTGAGACAAACGGACGCTCGTGAGCGCGTCCTCCGCCGGCGGCGCTTTTACCTGATCCCGGTCCGTCCCCGCGTCCGCGGATATCACGATCCTCTTCTCAATCCTGCTTTCGGAAATCCCTCGGTTCACCGTCTGTTGACAGAGGGGGCGGGGTGACTTTTGCTCTTCTGGAGTTTGGGGGCAGTCGCGCGCGTACCTTGCTAAGGTGACAGCCGCCGGCCGTCTCCGCCGCGAAGCTGTGTGAAGTCGGCGTCGGGAGGACGGCGCCGTCTGCGTCCGCTCGCCTCTGAAACGCCGGCAAATACGGTAGATGCCCCTCGTCAACATCGGCGCTTTCCCTCCGTTCTCGCCCGTCTCCAAATCACTTTCCGGCCTTCCCTAATGGCGCCGTCTTCCATTCCAATGACGCCCCCCCCCCCCCCAAATTTTGGGGGGGTCCAAACATCCGTTCGTTCATTCGACTGCAACTCACAATGACTTGAAATCCTCCCCTCCGATTGTTTTGTCTTTCCAAAAGCAAAAGCGGGCACGTGAATGCGAGTGTACTCACCCCTGGAGCTTCGAGCATCCAAGTCTTCCTCGCCCTGGGGAACACCTGACAAAAACACACCAACCACAAAAAAAAAAACGCTTTCACTCTCAAGCGAGTCTGTACGCTTCCCGCCGGTCAGCCTGCGCATCCCCAATGGGGAGAGTTGCGCTCGAGCGCTCCGGGGGGGCGGACAACGCGGGGACTGCTCAAAGTTGGGAAACGTGCTTTCAGAGGGACGCTTTTCAAAGGAAGTGGCGGACGGGGAGCGGGTTGGCAGGGAATTCGTTGAGCGGAAGGTCACCGCGGGTTGCTTTCGGTGGGAACGCTTTATCCGGGAGCTTCTTTATCTGGGACTGAGCGGTTGTCGCACCGTCCGTCGGGTTACCTCTTGCGGGGTTTCCCCGTCCTCGTCGAGCTCAAGCGAGCTGGGGGGGTCGTGGCAGGCGCACACGGGCGGCGCGGGGGAAGGGACGTTTCGGCGAGTCGCCCGGCCACCTTCCTCCTCCTCCTCCTCCGAGTCGTCCGCGTCACAGTAGCGGCGTGATGAACCGGTCGCCGGGAGAGCCCGGGGCCCGGCGCCGGGGCCGGGGCCGATATTCGCCTCCGTTGTCGCCCGCGCGCGCCGCTCGTGCTTACAGGGAGCGCTAGCGATCGCGCGGGCCCGAGCGGCGACGTCAGCTCGCGGGCTGCGTCTCTGTCCGCCTCCCGCCTCCAAGGCTTCTTCCGCAACCGCCTGCGCGATGACGCTGATGGCATCTTGGCTCGCCTCGCTAACATCATCGTCTTCGCTAGCCTGGCTACTCAGCTCGTCCTCGTCGTCGTCGTCACCGCCACCGCCAAACTTATTCTGACGGTGAAGCCGCCGAGCGTCTCGAACGGCATCCGCGACTACGGCTTCTGCGGCGTCATCGGCGTGAATGACAGAAGCCCCCGGCGGAGGCGGCGGCGGATCGCGCGGGGGCGGTCCCATGAACGCTTCTGCCGCTACCTGACACGCTGACTCCTCCTCCCCGGGCACCGCCGTCACGGTCCGGACCCTCGCCGACATCTGAAACGAGCGAGGAGAGAGACGGCCGGCCGTCAAAAGAGAGACAAAGAGGGATTCGAGCGCTAACAAAGCACAACGAACACCTTCGGTGGATTTTCTTCTCTGGACGCTTGGAGTTTTCCGGCCGACTTCAGCAAAGCGCTCAGCTCGGGAGACACTTCGTTCAAAGGAGGCCTCGGCTGCACGCACGCACGCACGCACGCGGATTCAACATCCAATCGCAACAAGGGGCCTCTGAGCGCGAGCCTCACCCCGTCCGCTTCCAAAGGTTCGATCATCGGCGCGTCGTCAAGTCGGCGAACGGGCGAGGCCGCCAAACGCTTTTCCCATTCGGTCGGCCCACCCGCCGGCGTCCCTCCCTCTAAGAAAGAGCGGCGCAGGTCGCCGACGGCGCTCGGCGCCTTCTCGACTTTCCGCGGTCCCGACGTGGTTTCCTGACAGCAGAGGCGAGAGGTCGGCAGGTCGGCTGGACAAATCTCAAGGAACAACCGTCCGCCGTTTTACCTGATGGCTTTTTAAAAAGTCTTCTTCCTGCTCAGACTGACACACAGAAAGACAGGTTGGCTTTCTTCCACACATGAGTCATCATCATCATCATCATCATCGTCACCTCGGTTCCTGTGAGGTCTCCATCCGCGGTCTCTGTCAGCTCTGTCTGGAGACACAAATGAATGAACATGAGCAACTACCGGGGCGACGCCTTCTATTTGATGAGGAGCGCGCAGTAGCCGGCCGCCGATTTTCAGTAGCGCTCGTCCTCATCGGAGTCTCGTGTGAACCGCGGCCAATTCCGGCTGAGCCGACTCGAGGTGCGCCCCGGACCGGTTGGCGTGCGATGCCCGTGACGTCGAGAAGCGTCGGTATGGATTGACTGGAAAAGCGCATCAGCCGACGGTGGATTCGCTCCAACGTGTGGCGTTTTGATGCTCTCCGGGCTGCCCCCGCGAGAGGCGCGCGCACAAGAAGGTTGCGACGCTCCGGGAGGAAAGAGTGACGCCGCGGCATTCCGCCAGTTGGCGTCGGTGAAACAGGTGACGTAGAGGAAGCCCGAAGAAGCACTCGAGACGGTTACGCTTGTGCGGGATCGCCGCGTTCAGAAGGACGGAGCCCGCGTCGGCCGTGCCGATGCTGGACTGCAGACAGGCAACCCCCCCCCCCCGAGCCCGCG